TTAGAATGTTAAGAGAGCCTTCAATATTAGCCCAGTTTAACTAAGATTCAGCTTATAGTTTTCAGTTCAGTGAAAGCTACAGTATCCAGTTTAAATTTCAGTTATCACATAAAGTTTCCAGTATTCCAAATCAGTTATCATTGCATAGCTTCAGAAAAATCAGTCTTCAATTTTATACATCACAAAGTTATAAATTTATTTACCAGATTTTGTTTTGAGAGTCATGAGTGTTCATTGAATGATGGTTTGGATGTTTGTAGCATGACTAGTAGAGTTATTATTTTCTATCATAGCTATTGAGAGCGATGACATAGATGGTTGCAGCATGACTTATAGGAAATATTGTTCCCAGAAGCATAAGCCCTTACAGTTTGTTTAGTTTCCAGAAAAAGAATTTTAAGCATTCAATGATGATTATTCAGAATTTGTTTTCAGCTTAAATGATGAATTACGTACTTAGAACAATTTTAGAAAACGAGTTATACATGCATACAGGAATGATTTAGTTACTTCCATAACACTTCACAATCATGTTGTTTTCAGGATTTCATAAGAACTATTGCATGCCATGACTATTTTGAAGAATGTTTTGCAAACTCTCCCCAATCCCCGACTCACTGATTATTCAGCTCACCCCTTTTTAGACCCTTTTTCCCAGTTCACAGGAAGAGTCGTGCTGAGGAGTGATCCTCTCGAGGTTGGGCTCTTACTTCATCGACTCATCATGTGTGTAAAATGTCATACTTGTTACCGCTACCGAATTATGTTTTATCCTTATTTTTATCTCCTGTGTTGATTATAAAAGATATGAATATCTGATACCAAAATTTTCCCTAACTTTTCCTTTTGTAAAACGAAAGATGATGCATGTCTTTTTTTTTTTTTTTGAGATGTTGGAAATGGAAATACTATATGTTATTCAGGAAAAGTATGTTTTGAACAGGTTTCACAGTTTTTCTACATGACACTGTCCGGGTATCTGAGTCTTGTGGGAGCGCCCGATCCTACGGGATGAGGAAATTCGGGACGGTTGTGTCATCATAAGTAGCATGAAACCACCACCACATATACACAAGCATTACTACACTGCCAATGGTATTATCATACAATAATACTAAACATTTCCCATGCAGCGTACAGTTGACCTCGTCGCATTGCAACACTATTTAAAAGGGTGAAGGGATTATACATATTGATAAGAAAACGGCTGTTTTAAGTACAATATCCTCAGATGTTTTCTCCAAGATTTTGCTTCTTCTGTCAACATCCGTCCATTTTGTAGTTTTCTAATATATTCCTTTTGATGTTTCCATAATTAAAAAGAAAAATATGAGTGGAGTTATATTTCACTGAAATTTTGAAAAAAAAAAAAAAAAGTCCATATTTTGATTCAAGTATTTTCAAGTTTAGATCACATCTCCCACCACCACCATCCTCAACCAAGTTAACAGGCAACCTTGCACTCACGCTCACTAGTCACTACTCTTTCAGCCATGGTAGCATTTTTTTATGAATTTTATTTTATTTTTTTCAACCTAGAGAAAAAGAAAATTAAGAGTTTAGGTTTTTTATTTCTTTAATTCTTTAATGTTAACATCAAACAACAACATACGTTTGATTCAAGCATTATCTGTAAATGAAATGTATATTGGCGCTACTAAATTGAACCTATCACTAAGCCAAGCATCAGCGCGTTCCAGAATGCCACATACCCCATGACTAATAGAAATAAATTCATCCCAATTGACAATGATGTAACCATGGAACTCCCCAAGGTGGAAGCAATGCCATTCCCAGAGTTCCCAAAACCAAAGCACTGCAGTTATCACATACCCCTTCCCATTTGAATTCCAGATTGCTGTTACGCCTATCGAAGAAGCAATTACACAAACAGACACACTTAAACCAAATCATTCTTCGCTAATCACAAAGTGATCATATGGTGGTAACCAATGACAAAAAGACAGCTTACCAATTTATTGTGAGCAGAATACCCAAAAATTTTACATAGCAAGAGCATCTAACAAGAACCAATATGTAGTGCCAAAGCAGTGGGACCCCTTAGATTTTTTACCTTCTATCATTTTCTTCTTTTTTTTTTTTTTTTTGGTGTGTGGGGGCTTGCTCTTCTTAGTTCTATATACCGTCTGACTAAAAATTAATGCATGGTTCAGCTCCATCCCAGATAAAATTACCGATCAACATCAACACCACTATAAAAAAAACTGCTGAAATGCCATTGCGACATCTGAATTTAGTATTGATTTTATGTCAAGTAAAAAAGATTTTGATAATATATCTAACTTGCATTTCCATTTCATGATTTATTTCCCAAAAAACTAACTTCTATTTGTTTTAATATTTTTTTTATCCAAAAGTATAAGTCATTAGCAAGGCAAATTTTTCTTCTTTTAACAGGATATACAAATCCTTAATATACTGTTCCGTAATTCTCAATACGAATATCTGAGTTCTGACCATTACTGAGGCCTCACCACATTATCTAGATATAATCTCAATAAACCTGCTTTATTCAGTTCCATGCAATATTCAAGTCAATAGCCTAGAAAGATGAAGCAACAGTTAGAAAAAATGAAACTTTCAGGGCACTGCAATATCCTCAATTGTCAGAAATAACTACCAGTTCAGCGATGAACGGCTTTCATAACCTTTAAAAGAACCAAAACATAGCTGCCTAGAGTAATAACAAACCCATCCATGGAACATTATATACAACCTTGACATCCATTTCCCATATATTTTCTGATATCCCTTCCCTCTTTTGCCTCCCTTTTATTCTCTTCCTCCTAATAGAATTCTTCCCTTAGTGCCACTGTCCCCCATAACTGATTCTTAACACCTCACTCACCGGAATCTTATTTTTACAACTCAAAGTCCCCTCCTTGCCTCTCTTGGATTTCTTATGTATGCCACATATTTGATGGTCTCATCACAAAACATTCATCCTAGCGTAAAAGAACTACAGATCCAACACTTGGTAAATCAAAAATAGTTTAAATTAGCAATGTACATATCAATTTTCCTTTCATTGTAATTCTTAATTCTCAGCATTTAAATAATAAAACAGAATGAGGCATAGACAGAGCATTCCAAGTATTGCCAATGGCAAAACATTTATATTTATCAATCACATAAACCGTCCAAAACACTTTTAATTGGATCATAATTCCAATTATTCACTTAATTAATCAAAACTTTAATATTAATATATTATAATATATTAAAATTTTTAATATGGTGTAATTTATATATAATCAGTATAATTGTATATTTATTTAATTAGGTTATTCTAAAAATTTAACTTTTTTCTATTTTAAATTTTTTTATGTGTAAAATAATAGAAACCCCCTATTATTCTTTATTCACATTTCACAAAATATTTCATATTTTCATTGCAGTCTAGGTTCCAAACACAGGGTGATTATTACAAGGTAGAATTTAAAAATTAACAAAAAAGCCCCATATTTTTGCTAATTTAACTTAATACCCCAATATATAAAAATTTTGTAAAATGACAAAAACATCCCAACCAGACACAGTTGCCAAATTTCGGCCACCACCGTTAGAATCTAGTGTTACGGTGCATGCCGGCTCTGGTCGGTAGTGCCGCGAGATAGCCTTTTCCAGCCAGATCCACCATGGATCTAACCGGAAAAGGTCAAATCTATTGCCAGATCTGGCCGTGTTTGGTCGTCAATGATGACCAAAGATATGGTCGTCATTGAAGATCAGTTACAGCCAAAGATCTGGCCTTCAATGACCAGATCTTTGGTCGTAGATCTGGCTGATAAATGATAAATTGATGCACTACCGGCCAAATCCAACTGGTAGTGCTCTATTATTAGAGTTGGAAAAGTAACTTGTCCGGCCCGATCTGACCCGACCCGACCCGGCCTGCTGCGGGTTACTGCTTTTGACGGGTTGGTCCTAACCCGCCCGCCAACCAAGGCAGGCCGGGTTAGGCTCGCCATTTTTGGGGGAATGGCTGGCCCAGCCCGGCCCACCAACCCTAACCCACCGGGTTATGCTGCGGGTCGGGCCGGTTTAACCCCTTTTTTTATTTATTTTTTATTTTGTTTTATTTAGTTAACTTTTCAAATAAATAATTAACAATTTACAAATGAATAAATGTAATTGCTTTTAGTTTAACTTTTCAAATATCAATAATTCTATTAAATTAATTTTTTTTTAGTAACATTTTAAATATTGATTCAATTTTAATACAATAAAATTGTAATATAAGAAAAATTAGATTTATTCATTCAATTGATGAAATTAGCATAAGAATGAATTATATTTTATACAAGACATGGAAATTTGAGACTAAGACTTCAGTATTTAATTTTTTTATATTTTACGTACCATAAAAAATAATAATAACAATGTGTCAAATATTACAAAGTTTTATACATTTTAATATTTATGATTTAGAAGTATAGTTTAATATTATTGTGTAAAATTATTTGTAAGAGTTCAATCATAATAGTTTAATTAAAAGAATTTAAAAAATAGGGGAAACTTGAAAAAAATAATTAATTTTTTATTTTTTTTAATTTTTTTTGGGCCAACCCGCCGGGTTGGCAGGTTGCCATATAGCAACCCGGCTCGCCCAGGGGTTTTTAGCGGGTTGGGTTCAACTCGGCCCGTCATATTGGCGGTCCGAGTTGAACCCTCTTCATTACGGGTTGGGTTAGGGTTGACCTGTCTAACCCGACCTATTTGTTCCACCTCTATCTATTATATCAGATTTTGGCCACTTTTTAATGGTGGTAGCCAAAATCTAGCAAATATAGGTAGACGGGGGTAATTTTGTTAATTTTTAAATTTTTTTAGAAAGTGTTTAATTAAATTAATAAATTTAAAATGTTTAAAAATAATTAAATAAAATATAATAATATTTTCAGAAAAGAAACAAACCGACCCATGATGCGGGTAATTATAAGTAGGGTGTGAAAAGAGACAATTCGGTTTAATAAGTCGGCTTTTTAGAGAGCTTTCACTCCAGGAAGCCCAAAGCAAATTGAAGCAGATGGCTGCGAGAGGAGGAAGCAAAGCAGCGATGGGGGCGGTGAAGGGCGGAGCCCTTAAATTTGGTGGTGGGCCTTTTAAATGCAAATTCAGAACCAAATCAGCTTTGCCTTCTCCTTCTTCTGAGTTGGGCAAGTTCTTGACTATTCCCGAGACGGCTCGTTCGGAAACTTCCAAATTGATCACCAAGTTCATCAAACTCAACAATCGCGAGGTTTTTCCTTTTATCGACTTTCTGATAGCGGAGAAATTGTTAGATTTAGGGACGAACCCTTTCTCTCCTGCCGAATTTCTTGTGATTTCTTAGCTTATGTTGCTTGTAATACTAGGTGTTCGATGATTGTCCTAACTGAATGTTTCGAATGTTTTTTTTTTTTTTTTTTTTGGGCTTTATAATTTAAATTGCTGCTATTTGGGTTATAGATGTTTCCGCCATTTGCAATAAACATGGATTATTTGCATTAATTTTTTTTTATTATGATATGTATTCATTATATTATTGCTATTTCCACAATATTTGATATACATAAATTATTGTTTCTATGGAGATATGACCATAATTATGATCACATGTATGGGGAGTTTGTGGTAGAAAGTTTTTTTGGTCTTTCGGCAAAACACTAGCAGACAGTCATTCTTGTTGATAAGTACTGGTAGCATAAGATAATCTCACATCTATTTAGAACATCCATGTTGATTCCATATTATACACTTTGTTGTTGTGCCAGAAGTATATTTGCATCTCAAAAATTTGTTTATTGTTCATAAGTAATCCTCTTTCCTCTCTCATTCCCATTTCATGTCTAGAAATTATTGGGTGTGACATTTCTATGATTCTTTTGCAGAACCCTGGAATGAAGAAGGACATGCTTGGTGAGGAAAAGTTGAGGTCTATATTGTCTGGGAAAGACAAAGTTGGGATTCCGGAGATTGCCAAATTGCTGTCCGGGCAATTTGTCAAAACTCGCTACAACCGCCGATAGTTGCCTGACTTGATTTTGTTTGAACTGTTGTGCTACTAATAAAATTGTGGCGTAGTCAGAATATGCTATAAAAATTGAGGAACATAACTTGATGGGCATATTTGTTTGAAGTTGTAGTCAGACATTCAGTGTATGGTTTAAATCTGTTTGTGATAATTTCGTAAGTTATTATTATAGCTTTTTGGGAGAATTTTTCTGCTTCTTCAAGAGAATTGTATTCTGGAGAAAATATTAGCAAGCTGAGGATGAAGTTTTTGTCTTTGTTTCTAATGCCTCATGAGTTCATTTAATTTGAGGAGTTTAGGAATTTTTTATTTGGGAAAAAAATCGAAGGTAGAAAGCAAGCCTGCTGGAGAATGGGATACTAATACATTTGATAGAGCCATTAGGATGATTGAACATTGGCAAACAATCACAATCACAGGGTTGCTTATGCTTGTTTCTGTGATGATTTGTTGATTGCAAGCTGTAACTTCCATTATCAGTCTTACACACAGGATTTTACTTACAATTGCAAACTATACAAATGTTCAATGAAATGCTCTTTTCTGCATCATTCTGATTGGCACATATGTGTCACTATTTAGAATCTAACAAGCAATGGAGCTCTGAATGTGAACTTGATAACCAGAATTAGAGAAAGAAAAATGTTATCCTTACAAAAACAATACAAAGAGGGCTACAAAGTGATGTCGGCAAGAAGGAAAAAACAAAGAAAGAACGGAAAAAGAGAGAGAGAGAGAGAAACCATGAAGATCAAGGGTAGCAATTGTTTTTGTATGCCCCCTTTGTATTTGTTTTTGTAAGACTAGCATTACTCAAGAATGGCACTCAAATAGTAACATATTTAGTATAGATAAACGTGCTTTAATAGGATGAAAGGGAGGAAATTTAAATCCCAAGTTTGGATTTAAAAAAATAACCCTGAAAAGCGAAGGTTTTTTTTTTTAAATTTAAAAATCTAACGTGGCACTCTTAATTGTAACTAAACATTAAAAAAAAAAAAAAAGGCTAGAGTGAAGAGATTGAAACGTATATGGGTAATAGTATAATTAATGAAAATTTGTTTAATTTTTGAAAATTAAAAAACAATCCCCTCCCTTCAAAATCGCTTAATCGAGCAGTATACCTAAAAAACGATTGACGAAACACCTTCGATTTCGCTGCGATTTTCAACGATAGAAGTTCCCTATTTCCTACCAATATTCGATCCTACAGCTTCGTTACACAAAGTCATAGCTGATATTCACAAAGAGAAGGAAAACCCAACCTCACTCCAAATCCTATACTTCGGCGACGGTGGTTGTTCAAAGGTTATCGAAGAAGACGATCTGGTGGATCATCCGATGAGTGAAGGCGGTCCAGAGGAGACAACGACAGCACAAGAATAGAGAGAAGAATCGGAAAATGGTTTTGAAGAGGAGGACGTCGGTGAAGAAAATGTATGTTTTTTACTGGCGGCTTTGAATTTGATGAAAAATTGGATTGGTTTGTGCGAATTTGGGAGATATGTAGTTGGTTTTATTGTTGCGATGGTTGTGGCGTTTTGTCGAGCAGTTGGCAAGCATCAGAAGAGTGGCTTTGTTTGGGTTTCAAAGGATGCGAGAAGGTAAGGGAGACCGTAGAGAGGTTGTTTGTGGGAGGTTGGAGGGCTGGGGATAGCAGGAGGTGGCGGAATAGGGGGGTTAAAGGGCCATGCACAGTTGTACACACGCAGCTTGTGCGGTTGCAGGGTAGCCCTCCAGCCCCCGTATTTCGCCACCTCTTGTCATCCTCAGCCATCTCCAGTCATGGAACCTGCCATAACAACCTCTGTAGGGCCTGCATTGGCTTCCCCAATCTTCTCAAAGCCAAAAACAGCCACTCCCCGATGCCCTCAAAGCCCATATCCCCCAAATTAGCAGTCTATTGTGTTTTGGTTTCTATTTTTGGCTGATATTTAGTTTATATCGATTGTGCAGATTTTCTGAAGGTAAATTATAATGATTATGGGTTGGAGGTTGTAAGCGATAAGGTATCGTACTTCCCCGTAAGGGTGACAATTAGGTCGAGTTGGCAAATTTTTATGAGAATAATGGAGATTTTGGAGGAATAAAGGAAGGGTATGGACCAACTCAAAGATAGTTCTTTCGGTCATTTTACAGACATCGGAAAAAAATGGAAAAAGGCATTCTGGGGGTAGGGAGTGCATTATATGTTTCTACACTTAGTTAAAAGCCAAGAAAAAAAATGAACTATGGTTCGTGGTGGATGGGAAGCCACTACGTTTTGGGATGATGGAATATGCCCTTATGACACGCTTAAGATGTGGGGCATTTCCAGATGCGGAAGAGCAAGAAAGAATAACGAAAAATAGGGCAATCGATAAATTGGCTAGAAAGGTTTTGGGGGGAAAGGCGTCTATTACGGGATGCGAGTTAGAGGAGAGGTTAGGAGAAGATGGGGCATGCCTTTTCAGAGAAGTTCAAGATGTTTCTGGTATGGTCCGTGCATTCGATCCTAGCGGCTTCTAACTCAACAAAAGCCATTAATATGGATTGGGTGAAGTTTGCAAGCAACATGGACTTCTTTAATGCTTATCAGTGGGGACAATTATCATTTTAGCTAACCATTGACTCCTTGCATGGAAAAGACATGGACTTCCTTAATGCTTATCTGAATATACTGGATCGCTTAAGCGATTTTAGGGCTTGCTTAAGTGATCCATTATATTTAGCCTTAGTCGCTTAAGTGATCACGTACAAGTCAGAATCAAGATCACTTAAGCGATTTTTTATTTTTACCTTTGGTTGCTTAAGCGATCAAGTCCAAGGCAAAATCAAGTCACCCCAGGTACACGATCACTTAAGCGATTCTTCACTTTTACCCTTGGTCACTTAAGCGATCTATGATTGCTTAAGCGATCATGTCCAAGGAAGAATCAAGATCACTTAAGCGATTCTTTAAAGTTAGCCTTGATCGCTTAAGCGACCAAGGCCATTTTGCTTCTTATCTCCTCGATCTTTTGATATTGTGCACGTTTGAGTGAGAAATTATATTCCGTATTATGGGTCAGCTCTATATTCAATCATAACCATCCATATTTGTGAAATGAGGTACGTTTCTACTAATGTGTCACACTCGTAACTAATTCAGTAAATTGATTGATTGATTGACTTGACACGACAATTATGTTGATAATATTTATTTTGCTTGTCTTACTTCTTTGGGCAACAATCAGTGTCGTATAGAGGTAATATGCGAAATTTTACTTGCTTAAACCCTTTTTAAAATGGATGAAAAATGAAAAATAATTAATTTGATTTAATACGATATAAAAGATGATTTGTTCACGGTAACAATTAAATTTAAAATATAAAAAATTGAAAACAACAAATCTTCAACAGTTGGCCTTGGCAACTCTCTCGATTTCACCCTTCTCCTTGATGGCATAGTTGGAAATACAGGGATATAAAATCAATTTAATGCACCACAAAATAGAAACATAATAACTTCATCAGATTGCTTAAGCGATCTTCAGTCGCTTAAGCAATCTATTGGTCAGATCTGCATATAAGAGAAGATTGCTTAAGCGAGCATGTGTCACTTAAGTGATCTGGTGTTCACCAGATCTGATCTGAGTAACAGATCACTTAAGCAACTGAGGATCGCTTAAGTGATCTGGTGTTAACCAGATTTGATTTGAGCAGGGGATCGTTTAGGCGATCTGATGTTCAGAGCTACAGATAAGAGTAGATCGCTTAAGCAACTTAAGATCGCTTAAACGATCTGTTGTTCAGATCTGCAGATAACAGCTAATTGCTTAAGCGATCTGATCTTATCTGCAGATTGCTTGCTTTCTGGCTTCTATTCGATTTGAATCTAATTTCCTAGATCTGCATGTGATTGATTCTGACATCTGCTTCTCTTGTGGTTAGGTTGCTTGCAAATTGAGCACTTATTTATCCTCTAGGGAACCTCATAGGCTGATGAAATACACTTAACTATTTTTCTCTCATTTTCTGTCTTCTTGAATGGCGAATGAATGTAACGCCTATATCAAGGTACGTAGGTCTATTTAAGCCCTAATACCCTTAGTTGAATTTTGTTAAAGTTATCTTGGACAAATGTTAAGGAAATTCTTTAAAATGTTGTTAGGGGTAAAATGGTCTTTTCACTCATAATTAGTTGAAAAAGTGGGGAGTGAAAAGAAGTAGAATAACATGGAGAAGTTAATAAAAATGAGGACATTTTTGTAATTAACTAAGGGACATAGATGAAATTTTTAGAAAGTGCAAGGGTAAAATGGGAATATATATATATAATTATATAATATAATAGTAATATATATAATATATATCTATATATTATATATATATATATATATTCCCATTTTACCCTTGCACTTTCTAAAAATTTCATCTATGTCACACACTAAGAGTTCAAGAGGAGAAACCCTAGCCACATTACCCTTCCATTCATGTCATTCTCTATCCAAATTCTCTCAATTTTCTTCACTAAATTTCCAAAGAAATTCATAGGATTTTGGCTGGATTTTGATAGAAGCATCCAAAGGTAAGATTCTTACACCAAGATGTGAGATTAAATTTTAAATTTTTGAATTCTTATGGTTTTATATGTTTAGGGTTTAAGAGGAAAGGAAATTCTATCAAAGGGAGATTATAGTGTTGGAGTTGCTTAAATTCAAGGTAAGTAAATCCAACTTTAGCTTTGATTTAATCACAAGTTGTGTAGAGAAATTTATTTTATGTTGTATGTGTGTTTTGATGATGAGAATTATAGATTGAAATTGAGGTTGTTTGATATGTGAATCTCATGGCCATGAGAAGTGAATTATTAATATGTGATGAGAATTGATTCATTAGTATGTGATGAGAAGTGAATTATTAATATGTGATGAGAATTGATTCATTAGTATGTGATGAGAATTAATTTATTAGTATGTGATGAAAATTGATTTATTCATATGTGATGAGAAGTTATGTATTAGTATGTGTTGAGTTAATGAAATTTTGGATGAAATATAGAAAAATGGATGTTGAAAGGTGGAGGATGAAATTCGGCTAGAGTGGTTGTTGGCCTTAGGGAGTTTTTACTCCTATTTTGGTGGCTTGAGAAATATGTGGAAGTATAGCCAACTTAGTATTTTCTTGTGCATATGAATTGTTTGATGAAAATCCTAAGAGAAAATACATGCATGAGTTGGTTAAACCCTATTGAAGAAAGAGTTAGAGAAAGGCAAGAATTGAAGTTTGATGACAATCAATGGAATTAG